GTTATAATTTTTTACCAAACCGTTATTATAAAGTAACTACAAAAGTAACGTCGTTACTTATTACTTTCCATCCCTGACAAAAAGTGAAGTAATAAAATATGAAGACATCTCTAGAGTTAAACAACAAGACCATAATTATAGCATATATAACTTGAAAACGATTTTAGAGCGATTTTGACAGACAACACAAAATCTGATGAAATAATTATTTAGTTTTGAATTCTAGTTTTGAGTATACATACTTATCAAGTTATGTGTGTTTACAAATATTGATGTACAAATACTAACAATGCAATTTTTGTTGCTTCATTCCCGGAATGATAAGTTGATATCTTATTAAACAAAGTTTATATTTATTATCTTTAATAATGATTTTGTATGAGTTTTCCTATGATAATCGACGTACCACTCGAATCCACTTAAACAATTGTTTAATATAATTTATACAAAACCTCGGAACTTTTTCATATTAAAAATCCAAGACTTAACATATATTTATTTATTCAATATTAGTAATAAGGCTCCTTTTTTATTATAAATTAATGTTGAATCAAAATCCTTTTATTCTAAATTCTTACAGATTTATTTAGTCATACCAATGGGAAATAAAAAAAATATATATATATTTAACATATATATATATGTATATGCGTATAGCAATGTGTTTATATATATATGTATATGTATATGTTTATATGTATAAATTAAATGCAAACGAAAAATGAATTCTTAAAGAAATAAATGTTTTAATCCAAGAACATTTTATGTATAGCGCCAAGAATAAACAATTTTCGATTAACAATAAATTATTCGTAAAATAAAATAAATTTTATTTTTAATTCAAAACAAATTTTATTTGAATAAAAGATTAAAGTTGCACTCGTTCAACATTAAATACGTTTAGTAGCATTATTTTTTCTTCACTGATATCTTTTGCCAATTTATTTCAATCCCCAGTATGCTTCTTAGTAACATCAAAATATCAGAAATGTTACAAGTAAGTTACGATAGTAACTTACTAGATTTTGTAAATGAAGTGCCATACTGAGAGCTTGCCTCTTAATGTGCACGAAATACAAGCTCCCAAGGAAAAACTGAATCAAACTTGGATTGTACCCTGTATTAATGTTAGCTCAAAGACAAGTGAAATGTTGAAATCGTTCTACCAACCTCTGTTAGCCGTATTGCAAATAAGAATGCAAACAGACGATCAACCTCGTCACATTGGGAGAGAACGCTGGCTGCATATACATGCGGATCCGCCATGATGGATTCATTGCTCATCTCACTTATTTAACTGTAGATAACAGATCTGTCCGCGTGTATAGGCGCCTCTTCGTCGCAGTGACAAAGTCGGCCGTCTGTTCGCGCATCCTCATTTGCAATATAACTGACAAAAACAGGATGAGCTGTATATTTCATCCATCCTTAAAGATTGAACCATATTTAGGGGTATGTTCCACGAATGAAAGTTCACTTACAAAATCACCGTCAATCGTCATTCACCCATGCACTTCCGATATCTTGATATTACTGAAGGGCCCTTATACACACTATTGCCGCATGTCAGCGAATTTTCAAATTTATAATTCTTAACCCAAGAATAAATAGTTTGTAAATAATGATTGAGTATGTTAGAACCATATAATAATTTTAGAAACAATAATACAATTTTAAAAATAAAATATACTTTGCATAAATCTATTTATTATTAATGTCAGAGAACATTTTATACTTAAATGAAAGTAAGTAGCATTCAAGAATAAAAATATACGTGACTCAGGAATTCATTTTTTTCTATGTATATGAATAAAAATATATTATACATATATTAGTAATGGGAAAAAGTTCGTGGCGTTTTTTTAATGCCATCTAACGGGAAAAATGCCATGAACTTTCCCACACCTAATATATTATACATCAACGACATAGAGAATGGACTGATCCGTATGTCAAAATAATCGATAAGAGAGAGAATCATAGAAGACCGCCACTCTGTATCTTTTTCTATTCAATGATGTAATGGGAGAGAGAATGAGAATTAGATTGATCTTCCAGAATTCCTTTCTCTCATTATTATATCGACCACATTTGAAAAAGTTGTATAATTAATTTGACAATAGACACTTTTCATTTTCAAAATGTCACACTTTATACTGCAATTGCGTATCATTCTGTTCTTAGCTTTGTTATCTATTACGTAAACTGATATATTTCCTGACGTCAGAGATACGATGCCTAGCGAGCGTGCAACACATGCTCGGTCAGAAATGATAATGAAATCGACATCGAATCGACATCGAAATTTAAATGATTAACTAATGCTTTATGTGAAAAGTCGTACAGCAAGAAGGGAAGTTGGGGTTCGATTGTCCCTGCTGATGGCGTAGGACGTTAGAAAATAAATCAATTTACGCAATAAATAACAAAGGCAAAGAGCAGAATGATAAGCAAATGCTGCAGTATAAAGTGTGACATTTTGTAATTGAAAAGTGTCTAGTGTCGAGATTGATTGGAATTTATGTCTCTTTCATATAAAGCATTATTTTAGTCATGTCTAGAAATATACAGCATTGAGAAATTAATTATGCAACTTTTTCAAATGTGATCGACATAATGAGAAAAAGGGCTCGGAAGACTCTCTCTCATTCTCTCAATCTCTCTCTCATTACACCATTGAATAGAAAGAAATACAGATTGGCAGTTTTCCATGATTCCTCTCTCTTACTTTTATCAATCATTTTGACATACGGACATAATTCATTCTCTATGTCGTTGATGTATATATGTATAATATATTTTTATTCATATATTTATATATTTATATAAACTTGTACACATATATATATATATA